CACCATTCCAACAGTGGATGAACCATAAAAACAATGAGTTCTTTGTCTCCACACTCATGAAAAGACAAATGCAATTCTCCGAGGTGTGCAGGAAAGGGAGTCTCAGAGACCATGAAAGCGGATCCTTCTGTGCCTTTGGCCACTAATCTCGATTTACATCATGCAACAGAGATGAATGAGATGTAGAGCCCAGGCTAGGATGTTGATTGTTCAGTGATAATTGATGTCTGTACAAATCACACAGAGTCCCAGAAATTACCAGTATCAAGTCGAGCCAAGGGGAGACACAGTGTATCATGGCTATCCATATACAGTGCTAATCCCAAATCTCCAGCTGGTGCAGGAAAAACTGTCCTTGCGTGAGCCCACTCTCTGGTTACTCTGAATCAACTAATTACTTGGAGCTTCGTCCATTGATTGTAGATCGCCGTATCATCCACTAAAAATCGGAGAACGGGTATTCTATGCCAGTTGGTCTTTTCCTGATTTTTGACCTCCTCAGTTTGTGTAAATTTGACCTTCTACGTAAGCCTTCACGAATCGTAAGGTACTCTGCTGATGCAGAATTCACTCTGCACCTACCGCAGTCGAGAACGAGTCCCGTCGATTTCCGCCGGTCCTGCCCTGGGGCCCAAAACGGGCAATTGCGAGTGTCACACCAGTGACTGTTTTGCTTTACGACGGCCACGACATCCACCGCACACTCAAGGTAAGCCGCTGTGCTTCATCTCACTCCCTTCTCCCATACCATACGGGATAACAGAGCAGTAAATTCAGTCTCACGGTGCCCTGTTGCCGATTTCCCCGCGGTCGAGGCCCCACCCCTTCATACACGCGCTAATCTTTCCCAGACAGGCTTCGCACCGAGCTCGCCCTCGGATGGCCAAGCCACATGGTGCAGTGCTGCCGCGTCATCGCGATGGTATGGCCCTCCAGACCGAAGGCGCAAAAACTCGGACGATGGCGACATGCCACGCATGCCGATGGGACGACGAGAACGACGAGAACAGCGAGGTGAATAAGGGTGAGTCTCATCTCCACCCCTTTCACATCACATCCTCACGCGTCTTTACTCCTGGCGCCGATCTCGCCCTGTACCCGACCACCCGCTCGCCGCACGGCTCATCGATAAGGCGCTAACGGCTTCACCGTGCCGACCCAGACCAGCGCCGCACTGGCATAAGTGTGAACGCAGCGAAGCAGCACCCCTGGGCGATATCTCCGCCGCCGCTCGCCGCCGCAGCACGCAACCTCTACCGCCGCTTCGCGTTGCCCACTACCTTCTGGACGCTGCGCCCCCAGCGCACTCCGGTAGGCCCACGCCCCCGCCGCCGAGGTACACCCTTACTGAGGCCGCGCACACTCCACAGGTTACACAGACATCGAGCTCTACCGGCGTTCCGTCGTCGTGCAGCGCTGGACGCGTGCGGGCGTCATTTCCCTGGAGCCCGCGATGCGCGGGCCGCGGATGATGTGGTGTGCTGGAGCAGCGCGAGTCGCTGTAGTCCCCCCGCGCCCCGTTGCCGAAGTACGCAGTCTCCGAGACGCACGCCGTCTCGGTGCGTTGCGGCATTCCGCAACTTTGCGCGGCCCATCCTTGAAGTGCGCGATCGAGAGGGCGCGGCTGCGGGCATTACTACCCTGGAGTCCCCGATGCCTGCGGCGCAAGGATAGTCGCGGAAGTGGTGTGGGACGTGTGGTCTGCACGGCCTCCCCTCTCAGGCGTCATCGCTGGCGCGTGAAGCTTTGGCGCAGTGGGTTCGGGAGGGTGTGGTGCGACGAGAAGGATCGGTCCGAAGGACAAGAATGAGGCCTCCGTATTCCCGATTGACGCGGAAGGGCCGGGTTTCCCATACTCTATGCCATCTATGTCTTGTCCCTTTTTTTCTGTATTTTTACCGATTTTATACATGTTTTTTCGAGTACATGCGAGCTCATCGGGGGCGACGACGTCAAGAGCTTGATGGGCGTCGTCTTCCAAATGCAGTTGCTTACATCATCAATCAAGCAAACAAACACATCGCTGCTCAACGGTCAGCACGACTAGGGCTGTGACTCCGTCCCGTCACGGGCACGGCCGTCGGCCCATCGAACCGTCCCGTCTCCGTCCCGTCATGGAGGTTTAGAAAATCTCTACGGAACGGGACGGGTGATGGGACGGCCGTCACGGGCCACCGGAAGGTGACGGTTTTCTTCCAGGCACAGTTTCCAGCCAGCGCTACGTAGGACACGGTCACAAAATTAATTCAGGTTGCAGAGGATCTTGTAGAGATGGTTAAATCGAGGAATGCAAATAAATTTTGTACGATGATGGTAAATAAAAGCTATTTAATTTGTTCTAAGCATCTTTGAGGATCTTTAACGGCGAGACAAAGGCACTGTTTAACCATCTACAGAACATTAGAGTGTGCTATGGCGGGGCGGCGCGTTTTCGCGCATCATTCGATCAGATCATCACCTCTCTCTGAAAATTCCCCGGGGACACGCCTCCCTGCACACCTTTCATCAACCAACCCTCCATCAACCCTTCAAGTCTTCTTTTAATGTTCATTTGGACTCTGTCAGTTTCCCCCGACAGACCCACTCGACGCGCCATTGTGGGTCGGTATCTTATCTTATCTTATCTGGGCCGGAAGAAGCCGATGCCCCGCTCTGACACTCTGACGCGGGGCGGTATGTGGCGGAACAACGCCCGAACGACATCCAAATGACAGTCTACACTGTGAGCGGCGGTGGCAAAGATTGCCGCCTTGATTGGCGGTGAACGGCTTCTCCAAATGGCTGTACCACCCGTCGTGCCGTCACGGCCGTCATTTCGACGGCCGTCGGCTCATCGAACCGTCCCGTTGCCGTCCCGTCACGAAAAGTTCCTAGGCCCCGACGGAACGGGTCGGCTACCCGTCACCGGAACCCGTCAAACCGTCGCGACGGGGACGGCGCACAGCCCTAAGCACGACGAGCTGCACAACGGCGACAGAGAGCTGTTCATTGCAGGATATAATTGGATTGGCCTGTGATTGATATATCGCCGCAAGTCTCCAACGGCGGGCTTTCATATATCAGTACTACTGGGAGCTTGTGGGCGGCTGATATATCAACCCCCCAGACTGTGGTGGACCTGAAGAAGTGGGTTTGGTGAAAATTTCCCTGAAATCCATACTCGGATCCATGCCATACCCGCGGGCATGAGTACCCCTATCCAGCGTAGGCTGTCCATCCTTGAAGGACATGGTATGTATGGAGCAATTAACCAAAATATTCTCACATAACTGTAGTCCGGCATATGCTGGCCGTCCTTGAAGGACACTCTGTGTTTGGAGGGATTGACCAGAATATTCCCACGTAACTGTCGTCCAGCATACACTGTCTGTCCTCGAAGGACACTCTGCGTTTGGAGGAATTGACCAGAATATTCCCACGTAACTGTCGTCCAGCATATGCTGTCCGTCCTCGAAGGGCACTCTGCGTTTAGAGCAATTAACCAGAATATTTCCACGCAACTGTTCAACAGACCGTGATTGTGGAGTAGGAGTCAAGTGTGCCATACTGACGAATATATGAGACATAGTCTCCCGCTCCAGATTTGCCTCAGTAGTCAGTAGTCAATGTCATATGTGGCTAGTCTGAATGCTGTAGTATTTCGTTCAAATCGACAGTCACACGTCACGAACCTTTGAGATGGAGGTATTGGACACCCTGAGGCCCCATGCCAAGTTCCAAACCGGCAGCACCACGGTGTCGTCTCATCTGAAGTTGGCCAGTTTGAGCCACTCAAAAAAGCAGTAGCACCTTCTTCGGAGTATAGCGGGGAGGATTCCGGCCTATCGGCGTTGGGTAAAGTTACAGATAATCCCTCGTATCAGGGGAACAGAACGAGCCCATGAAGTGCTGGAACGGCGAACAATTGGTGAAGAAACGGCCGGGACGAGAAAGCCAAGCGGCGTCGGCGTAAGGAATTGATGTTCACACGCTCCGGGTCTCGATCCGACATGCCATAACTTTCGATCAACCCATCACTCTCACTCCAAATTTGGTTCAGACCTTCGTTATAGTTCGTACTTCCATGCCCCATTACGCCCAGCCGTGAATATAAAGTCTAGGCTTGCTAGCCTCCAAGTGGCCAGCTAGGTGGTCCAAAATAGTACCCTTGAAATATGCAGGGCCGAAAAAGTGAAAACTTGTCCCACATCATAGCCCTTTACAAGTCCAATAGATACACTCAAACTGAGTTGATTCCCACAGTTTTCGAGGTAAGAAAAGTTTTTGCCCGACCTCTGAAAGCGTTACAAAATTTGTGACTATTTACACCAAAAGCGGTAAGTAGTCACGAAGTGATGACTGGCACTGTAAAATGATCAATGCAATCAATCAACGGGCTGAATTTCATGAGGTTCTGGATAATTTTGGCCATAACTTGTCTCCATCCCTGTGCTGTAATAAAATAAATCAGTTATTTCTGAAAAATCGAGTCTCTGGAATCATCCTGTATGCAAAAATGGTGTACACAGCTTGAAAGTACTTGAAAAGGTGACCATATTGGCATTTTATTTCACTTGAATTGATTGGGCCTTCGGCTCACAATATGCGGTTCAAGATGGCTATTTTGGGCATTTTTGGCACTAAATGAGCCAAAAATGCCCAAAATGACTAACTTGTAGGCTTCATTGTGAGCCCAATTCAAATGAGGCATAGATCGGCCTATATATCACTATGCTCGGTTTTTCAAGTACTTTCACACTGTGTACACCATTTTTTCATACACTATGATTCCAGAGACTGAATTTTTCAGAAATCACTGATTCATTTCATTACGGCACAATGATGGAGACAAGTTAGGGCCAAAACTATGCAGAACCTCATGAAATTCATCAGGGCTCATGGTAGTATTTTGTTTGAAGTAATTTCACCAGGAATTGAGCCCAAACGATGCCGGCAATTCTTTTTCGCCGCCACTGTACATAGTATGAATTCCAGATATCAAAAGCCAGAAAAATCATTAATGCCTGTGGTGGGAGTCGAACCCACATTGCTTTTGTAATTTTCAGGGAAGTCAAATAGAGATGCTCTCCGTTGAGCTACGCAGGCACTGATCGAAGTGGACAACAAGGTGATGCTAGCAGAAGCGGAAGATGAGGACACCCACGAAGATTTCCAAACACCCAGTACTGGGTGGGGAAAAGAATTTGCTCCTCAGAGCCGTCTGCGTCCTGGAATTCGAGTTCTTCTGGGTTAAATTTTCCCTAACTTCTCGAGGGGTCCTCCTCGCTGAATTCAACACCTCAAAAAAAATTGTGGAATTTGTGAATGCTCCGAGCGCTGTTTCAACCGATTTTCCCCGAGGGGACGGATTGGTTGCCCTGGCATCTGAGTTCTTCTGGGCTAAATTTTCCCTAACTTCTCGTGGGGCTCAGTTCGGTCCTCCCCGCTGAATTCAACACCTCAAAAAATTGTGGAACTTGTGCGACGGCCGGAATGCTCCGAGCGCTGTTCAACCGATTTTCCCTGAGGGGACGAATTGGTTGCCCTGGCATCTGAGTTCTTCTGGGTTAAAATTTCCCTAACTTCTCGAGGGGCCCAGTTCGGTCCTCCCCGCTGAATTCAACCCCTGAAAAGAATTGTGGAATTTGTGCGACGGCCAGAATGCTCCGAGCGCTATTTAGGCCGCGTTTTGCCGAGGCGATGGATTGGTTTCCCTGGCATCCGAGTTCTTCTGGGTTAAATTTTCTGTAACTTGTAAAAAGGCTCGGGTGGACCCTCCCCGCTGAATCGAACACCTCAAAAAAAAAATTTTTGTAGAATTTGTGGTGTAGACGGCCAGACCCCTATAATATCCATGCTTAGAAAAGAAAAGGAAAAAAGATTGGCATACTCTCCAGCGCGAAATTACAAACCAGAAAAAAAACCTTCAATCAGGGTGAACCAAAGATTGAATAAGGACTATTTTCCAATTTCATACTAGGGGAGTTCACGGTAGGGCCTATTTTCATGTTTGTGAATAAATATATTCGTGTGATGGGACGAATTAAATCTTCGTTTGTGGAATAAATCCGTGATCACCCCATTTGTGTCCCAGCATATATTTTTATTACTCAAGCAGACATATATTCCGCAAACGAGAGTTTATTCCACAAACGAGATTTAATCTCGTTTGTGGAATATCTTTCGTTTGTGAAAATAATCATCCCATCACATGAATATATTTATTCACAAACGGGAAAATAGGCCCTACCGTGAACTCCCCTAGTAGGACTTTATACACCATTTTTTACATCCCAGCTGATTCCTCAGAATCGATTTTTCAAAAAACAACCAAATATTTTATTATGAGAGAAAGAACCAGAGACGGTATGGGTTAAGCTATTCAGATCATCATGAAATTGATGGAAGTTGACCCCGACATTTTATTTGGGCATGTGAGATCCGAGAAAGCTTTTGGAAACGGCTCCACCGACCATGGGACCTGGTGAAGGGGTGCTGAACCCAATTCTTTAGCAGAGAGTTCCGTGTTGTTTTCTGTGAATGTAAAGGCCGAAAGCAAATACTGAACGGATTCAGTCCCGGCAGCCAGTTCATGTCTGCCGAATTGTGGCGGAGATTCGTGTATTTCAGGAACCGTGTATGAATATCTTCATGATCATCGGAATCCACGTAGAATGGCTTTCGACCGCATGAGATGATGCAACATCCCGAGTCCATTCGGAAAGACCGCAGGCTTTCCGCACGTGGTCAATCCGCCCGATTATTACGTCTGTGTCGTTCCTTTTTCTCCTGGGGATTCAATTTGACCCGCTTGACAGAGGTTTGATCTATTTTTCACTCGTTGGTCACATTTGCGCCGATTACTGAGAAATATTGCATACATTCTGGATCTTCTGGGCCCTCCTTGGCAATGCCTCTTGCATCAGTGGAGTTGCCTTCGCAATGTAGCTGCCTTTTGTGCACTGTCAAGAATAATCCGTCGTATAGATCCATCACTTTGGCGTCAGGACCAGCCCCGGGAAGAATTTTTTCTCCTTGGCTGGCTGGGTTGGTCATGACTCGTGGTTCAGAGCGCCAGATCAGTTTCACTCACCCTCTAAGATTCGAGTTCCAACGGCTTGTGGACTATAAACTACTGGAACTCCGGGATTGCTGGGGTCAATTGCGTGGGATTCCGCTGCGTGATTCTCGTCTTCCTCCAAATTCACCCCAAAATTGGTCTCACCCCCATCACTCACATCCGATCTCACGGCCCCGTCGTTTTCTGAGACTTGGACAATGGGCTTCCTATGGATTGGTGTCGTCGGTCCGTCAGCTGGATGACAGCCATCTCCCTCAAGAATTCCAGTGTCCTTATTTCCGTCTTGGCGGTCGAACGCAGTATTTGATATGTTACTAGATTCCTCCGGGGACGAATCGCGGCCTGTCACGACTTCGACCGTGCTCGGACACATCTCCTTTTCAGGCCAACATCAGTCATTCCCTGTATTGCAGTGAGCCTTCAGAGTACGATGCCGATTGCATAATCCAAGGTCTCGCGCATGACAATGAACATGCGGTCCCCATCCCCATCCTCCAGCAGAAGCACTGATGTTTCGGACGTCATCTTTGAAACTGATACAGAAATTTGAAGGCATCAAACTGTATAAAACGCCAACATTACGCGATATCCTGCACGAAGGAGCGATGAAATTCATCAGATAACCACGATTTACTTACCTACCCATTTATGTGCATCAACAGATGACATTCTTTTGTTTTTACCCCGCGGCCTACACACTCAATACTTCCAGAAATATCTTTCGGGATCGGGTTTTTCTGTGAATACAGTTCCCGTCGGCACTTCGTGACCACCTCTCTTGTGTATACCACATTCTTCGCTGCATCCATGTCCCGCACAGTACCAGCATTAGAATCGACCGTGATTTCAATCTAAGTCGGGAACCAGCTAGCCTCCAATTGTGTCCAGAACGACGCACTGCTCCCACCCATGTGACTGCGCCAGGTGGAGGCAACATGCTGGGACTAGGGCAGTCTACAGAGGCTCAAGGTTCCGGCCCAGGGCTGCTTCTTGTGCACGACTTTTCTTAGGCATGGCATAACAGCATCAAGAGCTCAAAGAGGTGCAGGTCCAAATTGGCACGTCCAAAGTCTTGAACAGATCTGAGAAAATAGGTCAGTTTTTTACGAACCTTATAATATTTCGGCATTTGGGCAGATTTTGGTTGGTTGTCGTTCAGAAGTGGAATGGGTATGGATTTTTCGGCGGAATACGATTTGTAGGCATGGAGTGAGTGCTCTGGGGGACTCAGAAAAAAAATTGACCCCCAGCGAACCGAGTTGTGTAATATTTCCGTATTTGGGCAACTTAAACCCTCAGGAATATTTTAGTTTGTCTTCGTTCAGAAGTGGAATGGGTACTGATTTTCGAACGCAATACGGTTCGTAGGCATGGAATGAGTGCTCTGGGGGACTGAGAAAAAAATCAACCGCCAGCGAACCGAGTTGTATAATAAGTACAAGACGCCCTCCGCTTCGCTCCGGCATTCATAGGTCCACAACAGATTAAGCCATACTCACAGAGCATAAGAGACTGCCAAAAATATATGAAAAGCGGTCTGGTTCCCTTTCCACCGAGGTGGCAAAATTGCTTCAATATGAACAAAGATGGATTTTCAACGTAAAAGTGAACATCACTGAGGGTCAAATACTCAGGAATCACAGTGACCTAACACAAAACCCCACTGAGAAGCCCCACGCACATACTGGAGCTGAATCGCGCCTACTAATGTCAGGTGGGTTAGATTTCGCCTCTCAGGATAAATGGAAGCATGACCGGCGTAAGTATGTCGTCGAGCTGCGGCGGAAAAGACGATGCACCAGGGATGAGTGAATCTGGACAGCAATAGTAGAAAAAGGCCAGCGTCTTGAGCCAATGCTGGAGAGCGAAATGCAATTGATGCGAGTTGCGAGCCCAGCACTCAAAACGGAAAATGAGTAGAGTGAGGTGCCGCGGGAAGGCAGGATTGCTGGTTGAATTGTTCGGAGCAGAGTTGGAGGCACGAAGAAGTCGGCGCTGGATTGATTTTGCTTGCAATGCGGCATACTTGGCGCAAGTGCTGCGATGGCGGAGGATGCCGGCCGCGGAGGCGGAGTCGCGTGGACAGGTAGAACAACAGACGGTCATTAGGAGCCAGAGAAATACTAGCAGAATAGGCCTCATCGCGCGTGCGCGCAATCAAGGAGGAAGGAAGGGACAGAGTCATTTCCTGCAAGGTGTCTCTGTATATCTGTGAGAGAGGAGCAACGCGTTGTTTGTGCCGTTAGCGACATCACGTTGTCGAGCCAAACAAGTTGATCTTTCTTCCTTTCCCTCCATGTCTCCACCGCCCTTCCTCCTTTCTGGGCCTCAATTCCCCTTCAATTTCATGCTCTATGGGCCGCCACGCTGATACTGATGCATTCTAGCCATAATTTCACCCGAGGGAGGTCGTCGATCGAAAATAATATAATTTTTTTCGGCCGGTATGTGGTTCCTGTACTGACCCTGCAAACCCAGGTGTTAATGCTTGTCATCAGCATCTTCGCGCTATGCATGTATTTTAGCCGCTACTTTTTCATTGGCTGCGTGCTGATTTGTAACTTTGCAGCGGCCATCCCCGCTGTCGCCATGGGGTCGCATTTGTCGTGTGGAGTGTGGCCGCCCCGCCATCTTTTTTTGCGCTCGCCGCCAATCTTTTATGGACCTTAACCGACCGATGGTGGCGCAGGGACTCCCGGTCGGCCGACGGAGCTGCGCCCGTTTTGACCGGGCGGCATTGCAAGGATTGCAGTTTAATGCTCGGTACGCGCCTTCATAACCTCCATTTTACGCCTAAAAAAGCCTTGGCCAGCGCTCTCCGCCTGGGGCCATAGTGTCATCCGACAGGGCACTGTCCGCTACTCTCCTTGCGACCGGGGGATATTGGGGGGTCGTTGGGTCGATTGTGGCTTGAACGCTCGCGTACGCAATTTTTTTCCTTCGTTTTTGCGCCTAAAAAACCTTGGCCAGCGCTCTGTGGCCACCTTGGTAGCTCCACGCATCGGGCTGGTGCGGCCGACGAGTT